TAGAAAAAATTAGCCGGGCATGGTGGTGCATGCCTGTAGTCCCAGCTACTCGGGAGGCTGAGGCAGGAGGATCGCTTGAGCCCAGGAGTTTGAGGTTGCTGTGAGCTAGGCTGATGCCACGGCACTCTAGCCCGGGCAACACAGTGAGACTCTGTCTCAAAAAACAAACAAACAAACAAAAAAATGAATGTGAGATGAGGAACAGTGTATATAACTGAGCAATCTGGCCAAGAGCATGAAGAAAGAACGTAGTATCTGGGAGGGGACAGTAGAGAGGTTGTTCAGAAGATTGGTGGAGGGATTATGGAGGGGTTGTCAGAAGGCTAGGAGAGATGTAAGCATGTTTTTAAAAGCTGATGAGAAGGATACAAGGGAAAGAAATAGCTTAAAGATGCTGGAAAGAAAAACGAGCATTGATAGTCTAAGATTCCTAAAAGGAAGAAAATAATGAGATCCAGAGCATAAACTGAGGGACTCATCTTACAGAGGAGGACAACCCCTTATCAATTGTGCTTGGAAGGAAAGTGAGCAGGCAGGTAGGGTTTAGAGCAGGATTCCATCTGAAACTCCCAGTTTTTTTCTGAAGTTGGAATGGAATGCGGTATGGTTGTTGGTTTAATAGAGGAGATAACAATTTGATTGTAGAAATTGGGAATTGACCGATTATGTTAAAACCCAGTGAAATTTGGTAATCATAAAATTTATAGTGGTTCCATCTTTCCCTGTTGCACACTTACAGAAAATTTTAGGGTTCACATAAGATATAATATATTCATGGTAAGACACTGTTTTATAATTTCAGAATATAGTTTAATAACAGCCTACCTAAAATAAATGATTACGTGACTCTTGTATGCATCAGAATTCACTGAATCTAGTAATTTTTCCCCCACTTGAAAAGGTACATAAAGTTCAATCATCAAGATGTGGTTTAGATGCTATCGAATCCAAGTTTTTAGTATCAATCAACCCTATCACATGACCACAACTATAAAATGCATTGATATGAAAAGTGTTAACTACATAAAAATATAACTGCATTTTGTGTACAAATGTGCAATCCTCATTAATCTGATTAGATGACCCTAATTTGGCCAGAGTCTTATATGTTAACATTGTGAAGAAAGATTATGCTAAACACATCAGGGCATTTTTGTTTTCTTGTTCAATGGGCTAAACTTTAAGACTTTAGCAAGTCAGTTATATTTGATTGCAAACTAAAGTCTCAGTTATTCATTGAAGGTTGGCTTTTTAGGATCTGATTAGAAACACTCAACTGGTAAGCAGAATTATTCAATATTCCTGAAATATTAACATTACGTTCAAAATTTTCTTTAAATTTTATCAACTTAGCATGGTTTTCCTGAGTTATCAACCATTTACTGTAGGTCGATACCCAAAGTGATCTTCAATGATCACTAACAAATGCCTTTACAATCAATTTACAAAAAGGCATAAGTTAATAAGCACAAATAATATGTGATTTAAACATCAAAAATAATATTCATATTTCCATGAACAAAATACTCAAATACTTATGATTGTTACAATAGTGAAATTTAATCTTAGGTATTAAATGTAACAGTGATCCACAGAAAATTCACAAGTTTAGAGAAATGGGTGTCAATACTTCTACACTAAAAAGAGCAGTTCTTGAAAAATTCACTAAATTCTAATTTTCGTTACTAAAAATGAAATTATATTTTTGAAAGGGCCCAATACATAAACCTACTTTAAACAAGCCAAAGGATTAAAAAAGCTAAGATTAGTCACATTCCCCTTGATATTCAGTCTTCTAATCAACCATCCACTTACTTCACCCTTAGAAAACTCTCCTATATTTATCCAAAGTAAATACATCAGGAAAAATTGAATAGCTGATATTATTACTTATGTGTACATGGACTTTTCAATCAAATTCAAAGGTGAAAAGAAAATTCAGTAAAATCTTTTCTAATATAATATTTTCTTAACAAAAAACACTTAAGTAATATCAACAAAAATATTCTCCAGGGCTTTTTTTTCCCAGCATAATTATCAATGAGTTGAAATTTAAAGTCATCAATATAGGTAAGACCTTCTTTCTCTCAGATCCTCAAATCTTTTCCCAGGCAGAAACAGTATGAGATATATTTCTTGTACTCGAATCCTGAACTACCAATGCTTAGGAATTCAAAATATTAAGTATAAAAGATGCTCCTTGATGGCAAAGTCATAGAATCTCAAATCTCCTTATTAAGGCTATGTTAGGGTGCCCAAAGCATCAAATATAAACACAATGTCCATCGTCCATTGCATTAACTCTGCAGAAGTATCTAACACTTGTATGATTCTACTGCATAAAATTTGCTTGCTATACTTCAAACACCAAATGACAGACTACAGTATTATTATAATGGTTTACAGAATGTTATAAAAGATTTTTTGATCAATGTAAAGCAACATTAAATCTTCATGAAAAGCATACCATCATTCATTTTGGAAAGACTATGCATAAACTGTAATGTAATACAACAGCTTAGTCTCACTTATGTGGTAAAGGCCCAATAATGACTAAGCCAGGTAGGCCATGGCTTACCAGATTTTTATTCATTTTATAGCATACTCATTTTTCCCCTTTTTTATGTATAAAGTGCTCTTCAGTTTATCAGTATATTAAATTTTTAAAAATTACCGTTCAACACAAGTTAGAATGATTCAGCAACTAAATTTTAAACCGAAGAACAAGAAATGCAGCTGATTTTTTTCTAAAGCAACCAAAATTTCACTCAAGAAAAATCCACCTGTCTGGCCAGGGAAAAGAATTAGTTTATATCAAGTAATTCAATAAAGTCTATGCTATGAAATTGACCATCTGAAAAATAATTTAAAGTAATATTCATATAAATCAGTACCTAAATTGTGTAATTTTGCTGTTATCTTCTGCAGATGAAAAGCATCCTGATTCACTTAATTTTAAGAGATTCATAATTTAATTAACACATTTGAAGATGCTATCCTTGTAAGTGCCCTTACCTTTTAAAATTTCTTTACTATTACCTGCAAACAATAGGTAACAGAGCTTTGCCTCTGCTCTTCATTCTTTTTTGCTAACGTTTATTCACAGCTTGAATAAAATATTACAGTATTTATTAAATTAGTCATTGTAATAAGAGCACTATTTACAATTTACTATTTCACAGACACCCTCTGCAACTTTCTACAAAGCTTTTTTAACCCTCTTTGCTTCAAATTTCAGGGGGTTTTTGTAGAGGATGGGGGGGCAGGGAAAATGAATTCTGGAAGGGACACCAATTAAAAGTATTAGCAAAAATAAAGAGACCAATCTTTGTTTAATATTGGGCAACATAAGATCCTAACTAATGTTAATTAAAAAAACAAAAGCTAAACCACAGACTGCAACAGTTCACACCCTGAAAATGTGGCCTATTTACCCTGAAAACATATAATCTATAAATAAATACAGATAAAATACAAAAATCACATTTAATATTCAGACTTTAAATCTTGAATTTAGCCAAACTGTCTCATTGTCATTTTCATTTCAAAATCTATCTTATGTTTCAGAAAAATAGCCTTCATCCATTGATATTCTAAAAATAGACTCCTACTGTCTTTTATACAAGAAACAATTACGCTTGGTTATGAGTCCTACCATATCAGCCACATCATCAACATCTAAAATTCTTACTTAACTCCATTTTTGGCAAGCAAAATTGTAACTAAATATACAAAAAAAGAAAAAATCTTACCTATATGCTGCATTTCCTTTCAAATGCAAAATGGTTAGATTCCCCTTCTACTTAATCAGTACAGGGTCTGGACATTTTTCAGTCTGACTTGCAAATATTTGCTTTCCCTCTTAGGGCATAGCATCCGCAGGGTTATACAGCACTACTTACATTCTCTTCCACATAAAAATCAGACATTACATGAAAGGAAAAGAAAGACAGCCCATTTCAAAGCATCTGGCAGACCTCCATTGGCAACCTGCCAAGCCTCTGCTAAACCTTCCTGTCTTTCCGAGCATGCTCACTTAAAACCAACAGCACGTTACTATGGCAACTCTGTAGGCAGCCTGTAAGTATGAACCGCCATTCTGATTTCAGAGTGTAAAAAAACCAAATACTGCAGTGGAAGTAAAAGGGAAGAAATAGCGTATGCCCTTCATCACATCAAAGTATATGCATTTTGTTTCATAAATTCTTATTTGTGTATGTAAAACAGAAACAAGCATCCCACATTTTTTCCAAATATTTTTCATGCTCAAATAGGTCCCCCTTTCCAGTAAATTCATTCTCTTTGTCTTGCCCCTAAGCCCCTTTACCCCATTAACAACCAAAAATACACTGGACAGTTCATCCCATTTGACAAAACACTGCTGAATAAATAGACAACAATATTCATGTAAGCAATCATGCAATACTTTCATGGATGATTTCCTACAATTATATGCATATTTTAAATGATATGGCAATATTACAGAGACAACCATTAGCACTTATAACATACAACCTAAATCTTTTCTATGATTTTTATAGACCAGACCTGGGTTCAAATCCCTATTCTCCACATTTTAGTTGTGCCACCTTGGGAAAATTACTTAACCTTTCTGAACCTCACTTTCCTCATCTTTAAAGCAGGATAATAAAAGTTACTTCATATGGTAACAGTTTTAAATGAATTAACACACATGAAATACTTAAAAATTACATTTCTTTCCTCCTCAGTTGTTTGGAAAAGATCCTTAAAAAAACAGTTTGCACCTGTTGATTAATTAACCTGAGAAGTACTTCTTTGTAACCTCTTACTCAAAATTAGTTTTGATTTATACACTAAGCTGTGAGCCAAAAAGCTTCCTCAACCCCCAAATTCAGTTGTGCTAGAAATGAACAGAAACAAATAACAGAGAATCTAAACAGAGGGAAAAACATATGAAGGTATTATTCCTACTAGAGAGTATTAAAATGTTTTTGTTACAAACACAAAATTACACCTACCACCTCTTCTTCTGCCTTTTTGGCCTCCTTTTCCTTCTCTTCATCATTTTCTTCAGCCGGGCCACCTTCATCATCACTACTGGATGACTCAAGGATTTCACTTATATCCATTTTCCAATTATCAGGAACGACTCTAGTTCTTAAGAAGATACTTGCTTTCTGAATCCCTAAGAGTGAAAATATACTTCAGCAGTTGTTACAGAGTTAGCAGCATAGAATAACCAGAAAAGCATGACATTCAGAGTCTGAAGATCTGAATTCAAATTTAGCTGTCACTTATGAAATGATGTAGTAAGCTTGAATATATTCCGTAAGTTATAATATTATACAAATGTTTGTTATTACTGCAAGGAAACTGTGAAAAATCATAATGGTAAAACATGAAAAGTTAAACTTATCTAAAAATTACAAATCAAATATTTTATCTGGACATTAAAAAAAATCATCAAATAAGAGTGGATATTAACTCTAAACAGTTAAAACAGCAACACAGAATATTTAGTCTTGCCTTATTCACTATTTTCCATGTAAAGCCAGATCATGAAATAGTGGACTGATGCATCTTTATTTTACCTGGTTTAGTGGAAAGCTCAGCTTCTGGTAGATTAAGAATGTCTACTTCCTTAATGTCCTTTCTTGCTATAGAGTAACTAATTATAAGAGAGAAGAATAAAGGGGAGTGAAATCACTTATTAAATAAAACTTATCACTTAAATAGTCCATGTTAATGTATAGAAAATATAAAGCTCAAAATCAAAATTTTGCCTATAAAATGTTTTAAAAGTCTAGGACCATGTACATCTTAATCCTTAATAAACAGCAAGAGGTAACACAGGCAAAGCTAGTATCTCTATTCTCAAGTTTTACACACTTAAAGTATACTAATTTGAGAAAGCCTCAAATTCACAATATTTCAATCTATACAACTCTCCTACAGAGTAAGGGTTAATTTATATTAGCATGTTTTCAACATTTGTAGATATCTGTTTTAATGTTTACTATTATCAATTATATTATTCATTTTAGTAAAAAAGCCCATTTACTAGAAGGTATTATTAAAATATTTTTATCATTGTAAGATATACTTTGGTATTAAATTTTTCACAAATCAAATTTTTCATAACTCGATATATATATATTTTTAAATTTTACATTTTTTTTGTAACAAAGCAAGGATGAGATTAGGGAAATGTTTCTAAAAATCTGGTTTTTAATCAGAAAAATGTCAAAATAATTATTCTGATAATAGAGATTCTATGAAAAAATAAGTTTCATAATTCTTAATATGAAATAGTACACTTGATAAAACTTCAAAATTTTATAATTACAGAAAAAAATACCATGCTCTATTTTTTTAAAAACTTTTTAATATTGTTCTTACATATTGTTGTTCAGTTTTTATATAAAATTTATCAGTAAAAAATACCCTACACCACAAAAAGTCAAAACATATTAGATAACTTTTCATTTCATGAATAGACTTCTAAAAATAAAGATTTAGGGGGAGGAGTCTATCACTGTGATTCCATTTTTCTCCTCCCATGTAACATTATTAAGTGATTCATTACTCACAATTTAGAATCTATAAATGACCGAACTAAACACTGATCCTTTTTCACTGTGATATCATCATTACAGCTGGGAGATACCACCTGAAATATAAAATAATGACAGATTAATTCCTATTTCCCTTTCTCAGAAAAAGAACATTTTTAAAAAGAACTCTGGATCCCTTAACTTCTCAAATGGATTATTTCACAAGAAACAGCTTCACTGTGAATAGCTCCCGTTATAATTACTTATGAAAGAAGATCTCCTTATATTTTTGTTTAGTATATTAGTTTTCTACATATTTAATTTATCCATAGTCATTAGATTAAAAAATGATTAATGAACTATAAATTAATATGTGGCCAGCACTTTCAAAATATTAGAAGTATTATAAGCTAAATAATAATTCATTTATTATCCAAAAAGTAAAATGATCTGTGATGAAAATCTGGCATATTAAAATTTTTAAAATATATGTGGATCAGGATCTATTTTTATTTTATTTTTTGAGACAAAGTCTCACTCTGTCACCCTGGCTAGAATGCAGTGGCATCAAAGTAGCTCACTACAACTTCAAACTTCTGGGCTCAAGCAATCTTTTTGCCTCAGTCTCCCAAGCAACTGGGACTACAGGCATGTGTGCACCACCACGTCTGGCTAATTTTTTCTATTTTTGGTAGAGACGGGGCCTCACTCTTACTCAGACTGGTCTCAAACTCCTGAGCTCAAGTGATCCTCCCGCCTCGGCCTCCCAGAGTGCTAGGATTACAGGTGTGAGCCACCGCACCTGGCCAGGAACTACTCTTAAATCAGGATATTTGTTTTAAAAAAACACCAGTTATCTTTTTACCAGGTCACGTACAATTTTTAGTAATTAAAACAAAGAAAATATAAACAACTTTTAAAAATTCTTTTACTTTGAAAATAATAAACATTTAAACAGTATCATTAAAAAATAATCTCTGTATACTTTATAAAACTTCAAACTTTATATTTAAAAAAAAATTAAAGTTTCTTAATAAATTACCAAAATGTACCTGTCTCATACTCCCCCTGATCCTAGCTACTCTGCTACAATCTAGCACTGTTCGCATACCTTTATGCAATGATGGAAATGTTCCATATCTGCACTGCCCAATACAGTACCAATGAGTCACATGGGGTTTAGCACTTGAAATGTGGCTGATGCAACTGAGAGCCTGAATTTTTAATTCTATTTAATTTTAATTAATTTACATTTAAACTTAAATAGCCACATATGGCTCATGGTTATCATACTGAAAAGTGAATATCCAGATAATTAAGTATTCCTGGCAGTCACATCAGCTGTCTTAACAACAGATGGAAGCAAATGGTTTTTGTTTGTTTGTTTGCTAGGTGCTAGTAACATTAGATTAATAATAAAGTTATGCCTACCCTCAAGGAGTTTATAGTGTAATAAAAGGGCAAACGTTAAAATATATATAAAAAGAACACAATGGGGAATAAGTTCAGTGGGCACAAAATAATATGAAAACACATAGAGGAAGATTTAATCCAGCATGGACAAGGAAAAGGTGTGGCAGCAAAAGCTTAAGGTAAGTCTTACATGATGAGAGTAGGCATCACCCAAGGTCTAATTACCTCACCTGTGAACTACTCTAATGGCCTTCAAATTGATTCCTGCTACCTCCAGTCTTTCCAACAATGGTCCAACATATCACTGCCTCATTAACATTCCTAAACATGTAGCTCAAGTAATAGCACTCTTCTACAAAATTCTCTGCAGAATTATGTCTAAATTCCATAGATGGACTTTTAAACACCCTTCTGCCCTTGATTCAAATTATCTTTGCAGCCATATTTCCTATTATTCCCCTACCTGCCTCAAATATTTAGCTAAAATGGATTCCCAGAGCAAATGGTTCCATGAATAAACCTTTTGGTTTTTCTGATTTACTTATTTCGTTTTTTCTAAGAAAGTCCTCTAGTGAATCTGTCTACAAACTTTAAATCCTTCAATGCTCAGCTCAAAAGCATTTGCTTCATGAAGGCTTTCTGTATTTTCTTCATATAAATGTCATCTCTCAGACTAAGAAGTCCTAATACTGAACATACACTATTTTTATATTATAGTTACTTGGATTATTCTCTGCATTAGACACAAAATCATCAGAGGTAAGAATGGTGTCTTATCTTTTATTTTCAATATCACCTGACAAGTGATATATCTGTTGAGTAAATGAAGTTGTTAAAAAAATAAAAAAAAAGAAATCTTGGCAAACTATGATCTGATTATTCTGAATCCAAATCCATTTACTTTTCTGCCTATATAATTGAAAAGATTCGAAGGATTTTCAGGATTTTCCTATGTAAATTTATTGTCTAGGAACTGAGTAAAAATACATTTTACATGTACATAGAAAGCTGAAAAAAAATGGCTTCAGCTCTTAAAAGAATTATAATCTAATTGGGGATATATTTTGTGCCACAATTATTGGAGATAAATGGTATCAAAACTCAAAGAAGGAGCATACTTATGTTAAAAGTGTTTAGAGGAGACCCTACAGAGAAGGTAGAACTTGAGGCGATCTTTATTTGAGAGGGAATGAGAGAGAGGAGGAAGAGGAAGGGAAGGAGGAGAAAAGTGGAGACAGGCTTCAGCAAGTATTTTTGATTCCTCTCAAGAAATAATTGTCTATCTTTTCTTATACCTTCTCTATGTGAGCAAAGATTAGCTTTCTCTACCAACCCACTTAAGATTTGCCATTTCCAAATCCTTCTTTAAAATCTGGGTGAACCCTTCTTTTTCAATATTCCCTGCCCTACTCCAGTATATACCAACTTCTTTTTAATTAACTATAGACTCCTTAATTACTATGTTGTGTGTATAGTAAGCTTCTTGAGGGCAATGTGTTGCAAGTCTCATACTTCTTTCTCTTCTAAGAAACTCGGAAGAAAGATGAACTCACTACAGATCCTCAGTAAATACTAATTAAGACGGGGGTAAAGGCTTACACAAGTGAAGTATCTTACATAGGGGGCAGTTAAGAACAAACTTGAGTTTACACTGAAAATAGCAAGTAAACTAAGAGCTGGAGATGGCCTCTAATATCTACTTAAAGAATGCAAAATTGATTGATTAGGCAGATTCAGTAGATCTTTAAAAAAAAAATGGAACTATCATGATTAAATCAATATTTAAAAAAAATTTCTCTACAAAAATTAGTTCTGGAAAATTAGTCTGAATCTAGCAAAGAAAAATTGTAAAAATCAATTTAAGGGAACCCATGGTAATAGGAATAAAGTAAAAAGAAGCCACTGCACACATTTTGAGGGAAGAAAGGAAAGATCTCAATAAACGGTTATAGAGAATTAAAGAAAGCAAATAACAAAAGAAGACAATGAAGTATTCTGGACGTGACTATGACTGCTCAATTTTTAAATCTCCAATAAAGTTCAAATTTGTTTGATACCTTTTTTTTTTTTTTTGGAGACAGGGTCTCACTGTGTCACCCAGACCGGAGAGTTGTGGCAAGATTATAGCTCACTGCAACCTAGAACTCCTGGGCTTAAGTGCTCTTCCTGTCTTAGCCTTCCAAGTAGCTGGGACACCAGGCATGCACCACCATGCCCAGCTTTATTATTATTTTGTATTTTTTTTTGCAGAGATTAGGTCTTGCTATGTTGCCCAAGCTGGTCTTAAACTCCTGGCCTCAAGCGATCCTCCCACCTCAGTCTCCCAAAGTGCTGGGATTACAGGTGTCAGCCACTGCCTGGCCCAATACTTTCTAAGTATTTTAAATGCTTTTAAAAAATCCATTTTAGCTGGTCCAATAGTAGTGGGTTGTCAGAACTTATTAACATTAGTGTCACTAAAGCTAGTATACAACCCCCTACTGCTAAATTTGACTAGCTTAAAAAAAAATCCATTTTAAATAAATATTTACATGGTTGAGTAACCTTGCAAAGAAACATTACTTACCAAAGCAGGATACCATTCATTCCTCTCAGTTGTAGATACCACGCTTACAACTTTTCCTAATAATTCATCATTGAGGCGTCGCTTGTCTTCATCTTCCTCTTCACTACTTTCTTCTTCCTTTTCATCTTCGGTACTGAAAGTTAGAATAACTTGATCATTATCCTAACATAAACCATTATTTGATACAGTCAGAGTGGTGTGAATTTAACATGGTCAATTCAATTCCTAATGCATTACCCTGCAGTAGGAGCCTCTTCATTCTTGTAATTGAAGAGATGAATACTTCCTTTGCCTCACAGAAGTACACAGTCCTGAGCTGTCTATGGTAACTCTGAGTCCACTTCACTAGATCAATGAGTACTTGGACTTAGGCTCTCATGCCAATCACCAGCTGGGACAGAAAAGCCTAATTACACCACCATTAAGTACTTACTGTGCCATATATTTTTTTAAATAAAAGATTGCCCTTCCATTTTTATGCCAGACACTAGATAACATAACTTTAACTTTCTAACGGGCTATGAAAATATCTCGTTAAAACACATATGAGGGTTTATTTAGGTAACTTATCTGGAAAACTAAAGTTTACCCTTAAGTATCAACAACATGGATTTTTAATTTTAAGAGCATAGTTTTTTTAATGAGTATGTACTGTCATTTGAATTTTTCTTTTTTTTTTTTGAGATAGGGTTTTGCTGTGTTGCCCAGGCTAGAGTACAGTGGTGCAATCATAGTTCACTGTAACCTGGAAATCCTGGGTTCAAATGATCCTCCCACCTCAGCCTCCTGAGTAGCTGGGACTACAGGCATGGCATGCCACCCGGCCCAGCTAATTTTTTTGTGTGGAGACAGGGTCTCACTGTTGCCCAGGCTGGTCTTGAACTCCTGGCCTCAGGCAATCCTCCTGCCTCAGCTTCCCAAAGTCTGGAATTACAGGCATGAGCCACTATGCCCAGCTAAATTCTTGATGAATACATACTGAATAATGTGACATCTTCTTGAAGATATTACTAAAGTATGCAGAGCTATTAACGTTTATTAAATGGCTCAAAACCATTTAGTTCCTTATCTTTTTATGGTTTTAGTCCTTTTCCTCACAGACTTGTGAGCTATCAACTCTACCACATTGCTTTCCTTATTGTCTGCATCTATTAATCCTTCCTATCTTTCCTTACAAAACCTCTATTTACCTCTTCAAATCTGTTGCACTCTGAGAAACCAGATGACTCAACTTGTTAAAATTGAGGACACTTTCAGTAAAAGTCTATTGAATTAGCTTATGAATAAAATACTGGATGTTAATGATTTATTAAATATATATCACATACTAAGTACTTATTATATACTGATAAATTTATATACATTATCTAATTCTCACAGAAACTGGCAAGACATTTATCATTTCCATTTTCCTTAGCTATAAACTAGGAATAGTATAGGTTTTTATGAAGATTAGAGTTAATATATGTAAATGTACTTAACTTCAAAGAAGTTGTACTTAACTTCAAAGAGCTTGAGTAATTTTCCCAAAGTGACAAGATTTAGTAAGTGGCTGAGTTGGGATTTCTATTTAGGGTCCTCAGAGGTTTTTTATTACTTTCTGATTTGCAGCTTAGGTATTATTTGACTTTGCCATCTAAAATCTTCATTATGTACTCCCCAGTAGCAATGGGTACATATAATACCTGGATCTTGGTTTCTGAATATTATTTCCCACTAAAAGGAATCAGGGACCCTTATAAAAACAGCCAAATCCAAGGCTGGGGCATAAAAAGATTAATATGAGCCTAGATCATCTCATCACGCCAGAAAGTGAAAAAGTACTGAAGAAATGGTGAAGACATATCAAAAGCGCACAGAAGCCAGCCTGGAAAGGCTCCAATTGGCTAAATCTGGGACAACCTGAGCAACAAAATGAATTTTGTGACAATGAATTATAACCTATTACATAAAATTAGAATCCATAAATCCATTGTGATGATTAGGAAAAGATTTTCATTATAGTTAAATGACAACTAATAAATGTAGCAGGAATGAAAAATTAGAAAATCATCATTTTGCTATCATAATACTACTAACTGATTTAGGCACAAATTATCAGTGGATGATAAAACCACCAAAGGAAAGTTTGGTAAGAAGAGGATATTTAAATAGTCTCAAAGTATCTCTACACAGATTATTTATGAATTACAAAGGGAATAATGGTAACTATGGTAACTCTGAAGTTCAGAAATTTGGCAGATATCACCTTAACCAGGTGATCACAATTAATATCAACAATTATGGGACAAACTGATAACATGCACTTCTTGATGTGCCTGCCTTAAGGAAGACAACACTACTTATTACAGTATTTCTGTCAAAAATGTATAACCTGAATCTAATAGTGAACAATCGGACAAATCATGTTAAGGAATAGTCTACAAACACTCTTCAAAAATATCAATATCATGAAAAAGAAAAAAAGGCTAAAGAACTTTTCCAGATTAAAGGAGACTGAAGAACCATATAAACTAAATGCAATGCATGATCTTGGGTTGGACTCTAATAAGGGGAATAGTGAATGCTATAGAGGCTATTAGTGGGACAATTGCCAAAATTTGAAATACGGACTATATATTACTAGCTATTAATAATAGCATTCCATCAATGTTAAATTTTCTGAATTTGATATTCATTCTATGATTATGTGAGAGAATCTCTTTGTTCTAAAATACATAAAAGTAAAGTCATCATACTTGCCACTTCCTCTAAAACAGTTCAGCAAAATAAAATCATTATAAAATTGAAAAATAATAATATGTATATATAGAGGGAATGATATAACAAATGTGTCAAAAAATGTCAACAATTAGTGAAGCTAGATGAAGAGTATACGGAAGTTCACTGTATTATTCTTGCAATTTTTAAGTTTAAAATGTTTTCAAAATAAGAAGGTAAAAAAATCCCCACATATACTCACTTAAAATAGGAAAATCATCATATCAATTAAGGATTTAGGCAAAGTAACTTAAAACAAACAACCTTTTTGAAAAAGGTGGTGTGATAATTCTTGGGCAAAGTAATGGGAATAGTTAAGAACAAGGTCTGCTCAGAGTAAAACATCTACTCTAAGGATACAAGATGCTATGGAAAGATTACCCAAACAAATTTAGCAAATCTAGGAAAATCACATGTTTAATGTTGTAATAATTATATTGTAATGACACCCTATATGAAAAAACTCACACAGGAAGAGAAGACCTCCTTCCTCTGTTTGTCTTCTTTGCAATTACTGGAGTTCCAAAATGCTCTGGATTTGTTAATGGAAGCTGGTCAAGTGTCTGGATAAGAAACAGATTAAATCACATTTTATCTCTAGATCAGTAGCTGTTGTTTAATCCAAATAGTCCATCCATGTCATCCTACCTCACTCTCTGCAAAATGTCTCTCCCCTTTCAGGCAAAGCGAGGTACGTCTCAGTGTTCTCTCATCACCATCATCAAACACTACAATAAGCACAAGATATTACAGAATTTATGCATACTAATTAAATAACTTAATGGCACAGAATGCTATTAATTAGAGCTTAATATTTGTAAGAACATTTGTTAGACATTTTTCAAAACCTTTTCAAATGAGTATACCACATTTCTCATTCTGAGCATACCAAACAAACACAGGTTAAATGGTTGCCCACAACTGCTTTTGCTTTTTTGATTTCTATCACTTCAGAATGACCGTAACTCATTAGGAACCTAGTCAAAGCAAAAATATTAAATTACCAGTAATCCTAGAAGAATGAGCAAAAACCTGATTTTAAAAAAAAGAAGTATTATGGGTTTTTCCACAACAGTTATCAAAGGAGTACCCCTAATTTTCAGAAACTGTTTGACTCCTAGTAATGCTGTGGATTATTCCACTGCTTTTACTTATTTGCGTGATAACCTACCATAATAGAAGTACTGGCTACCAAATCCTAAAGTCTTAAAATTCAAGTTCTTTCTTTTGCTAGAAAAGGATATAAGTAGTTTAGAAATTAAGGTTGAAACACGGAAACATCAGAAAGATACAAAGTTACAAAGTTTATTTTTTAAAAAAATGCTCTTAGAAGATATCTCATTACCCAGGGTTATGAAGAAATAAAAGACAGAATCCTTACCTCAGATACTTAAAATGCATATATTTAGTCAACAATGTTTGTACATCTTATGAAAAGAATATATTCAGAGGAAAGCATGTTACACAAAAATGATTAAAATTTAATCCTAATTTTCATAATTCAAAATGCTTTTCTATTCTAACAGAATAATTTAGTATTAATAAAGGGAAATTCTACATTACTTTGATTTAATAATATCTTAGAATCTTTTAATTGGTTACTTATATAATTATAATCCTGAATTTTCTTCTTAAAAAAAGGATGTCTTATTAGCAAACACTTTGTCATCAAATCATATACTTATTTTTAATGACTAAGTTTTTAAAAAAAATTATATAAAAGCACTCAATATGTTCAATATTTATCTATTTCAAGCAGTTCTTACTCTTAGACTAAAGATATCTAGTTTAGGTTCTCTTACACGCAGGAAATAATGTAGAGAAAATTAAAAGATCCTGAAGCACATATTCAAAGTACCATAATGACTCCACAAAAGCGCTCTGCTATACACTGTCACTGATTCAGAAACTGATGACTACCTACAGACACAATGACAGGATAAAACAAAACATCTTCCATCAATTATATCACTGATCTGTACTTGATTAATAGTGTCCTAAATATTTATATCAAAATCATGATTCATACAGTGTCATCGAGTCTAATAAATAATCCACTGTTCCTTAAAAATTCATTGAAATTATCACAAACCAAACTTAAAAGCATTCCTCTTGTTAGTATTAGTGTCTGTAAGATTTCATAAAGAATAAATGGTTCCAATTTTCCTTAATGCCTACAATACCAAATATGGTGACAACAGACATACACACACACTTAAACAGAGGTGTGAGGAGGGAAAATGAGAATGTAAAACCAATATTGTCAAATTTACATAACAAAATCTTTTCCATAGTGTTCTATCATTAATCAATGGCAGCCCTAAATCAAAATGTTCTGATGAAAAATTTCAACAATTTCCTTAGTACAAGATTTTTAAAATAATCACTTTGAAATTAAATCAGATTTTTGAAGAGAAAAATTCATTTCACTTCAACATACTTTATCATGGATAGAAATAAAGTAAAAATCAAATGATTTCTCAAAAGGGTATTATGGGACAAACAACTATTTTATAATTTTACTCAGGAACAATTCCAACTTCAAGTCAACAAAAAGGTTTAAGTTTTGTTTTTTTAATTCACAAAACTATACAAATATATGTACTTGAGTACTTTATACATTTGTTAAGTCATGTAACTTTTTAAGATTTTCTGAAAGACAAATAGAAAACTCAACGTTGCATACTTATATGATATCCCTAATTACCAAAACCATGAAAAAGCTCCATCTATAAGAAGCTTCCTCTCTAACTTCCATGTTAGAAGTATCATTTAAAAGAATACAAAATTTGTAGGAACTGAAGAGTGATTTTATAGCATTTTTGGTAAGAGTGAAATAATTAACTGCTGTATATAGTAAGTTTACCTTCTTTTTAGTTCAGACTTACACTACAGCAGTCTAAGAGAAAAAAGTCAGCCTATAAGGATGTAGTGATTCTACAAAATGTCTTATACTTGCCAAAAATGGCACTTGAATAGATTATTCATTGAGTGCAACAGAACATGCATATGAGCCAAAAGTAGTATCTCCATTATTATATTAGGCATTGTGATGGTTAATTTTAGGTGTCACTTGACAGGATTAAGGAATACCTAGAGAACCGGTAAAGCATTACTTCTTGATGTGTCTATGAGGGTGTTTCCAGAGACTAGTGTGTGAGTCAGTAGACCAAGTAGGGAAGATCTGCTCTCAATGTGCACTGGCACCACCCAAACAGCTGGAGGCCCAGATCCTCTCTCTCTCTCCTAGAGCTAAGACACTCTCCTCCTCCTCCACTTGGACAACAGAACTCCAGGGTCTCTCACCTTGGGACTCTGAAACTTATACCAGCAGTCCCCCAGATTCTCAGGCCTTTGGCCTGGAACTGTGAATTACACCATACATTTCCCTGGTTCTGAGGCTTTTGAACTTGAAATGAATCAAGCTATTGGCATCCCAGGTCTCCTGCTTGCAGAGGCCTATCGCAGAACTTCTTGGCTTTCTTAATTACCTGAGTCAATTTCCCTAATAAATATTCCGTAATATCTGTATCTATCTTATTGGTTCTGTCTCTCTGGAGAACCCTAATAGAGATTTAAATACTAAAATCTATTTAGAGGAAAATGACAAAGCCAAGATCTCACAGTAAACTAATCATAAACAAAATAGACAAAATAATGCCAATGCAAACAAATATACAAATCCTAACCCTCATCTGTTAGAATTCAAAGAAACAAAAAGAAACAGGGATCTAATGAACTACTAAATATGAAAGCTCCAGCTCCCTGTTATCAAAGCACTAATAGATACTGGAAGACAGTAAGATAACATCAACATAAATTAACTTTATCCATAAACATAATTGGCCATCATTTATTAAGCTTCCACCATATTCTAATCCTCATAACAGCTTCTGCAAGGTAGGCATCACTATCTTCCTTTTACAGATAAAGAAATTGAGAATGAGAAGGTTAACCAATGAGCTACAATTTAGTTAAGGGGATATCAAAAGAGATAACAGCTTTAAAGCAGAAGTATAAAACGAAGACTGAGGAGGAAGTCAAGAATTCTGATTTTGGAAAAATAAGTATCATTATTGTTATATCTGTGTATAGCAGTTATGATTAACAGAATTCTTTGGATAATGAAGTAAAAATTTGAAAATTAAAAATAAATGTATACTAGGTAAAGCAATATTTTGACAAATGAAAATAGTATATATAAATGGTATACATGTTTTGAAGTGTGTATGCATTGTGGAATTGCTAAAGAAGCAAATTAACATGTGCATTACCTCACATGCTTATTTTTTTTTGTGGTGAGAACACTTAAAATCTACTATTAGCAATTTCCAAGTACACAATGTATTAACTATACCTACCACGTTGTACTATAGATCTCCTGAACTTATACTTCCTGTTTAACTAAAATTTTGTATCATTTGACCAACATTTCCCCAATCCCTCACCACTCCTAACCTGCCCCAGCCCCTGATAACCACCATTCTACTCTCCTCTAGGAGTTTGACTTTGTTATACTCCACATATAAGTGAGATCACGTGGTATTTGTCTTTCTGAGATTAAATTATTTTCACTTAGCATAATATCCTCCAGGTTTGTCCATGTTGTACCAAATGACAGAATCTCCTTCTTTTTCAAGGCTGAATATTATTCCACATAATATTCATTGTGTATATATAGCACATTTTCTTTATCCATTCATCCACTGATAAACACTTGGGTTAATTCCATTTCTTTGCTATTGCAAATAGTGCTATAATAAACACAGAGAGCAGATATTTCTTTGACATAACTGATTTCATTTTCTTTGGATGTATACCCAGAAATGGGATTGCTGGGGCATATGGTAGCTCTACTTTCTATTTTCTGAGAAGCTTCCATACTGTTTTCCATGATGATTGTACTAATTTACATTCCCACCAATAGTTGTGCACAAGTTCCCTTTTCCCATATCCTTGCTAGTACTCACAATCTTTTATCTTTTGGATGCTAATACCCGCTCTAACAGGCATAAAGTGATATCTCATTGTAGTTTTAATTTGCATTTCCCTGATGATTACTAGTGTTGAACATTTTCTTCAAACACTGTTGGTCATTTGTATGTTTTCTTTTGAGAAACGTCTATTCAAATCCTTTGTCCATTTTTTAATCAGGTTGTCTTCTTACTACTGAGCTGCTTATATATTTGGATATTAACCCCTTATCGGATGTTTGGCTTGCAAATATTTTCTTCCATTGTGAAAACTGTCTCTTCACTGTGTTGACAGTTTCCTTTCCTGTGCTAGATAGAAGCTTTTTCGTTTGACATAATACCATTTGTCCATTTTGCTTTTGTTGTCTGTGATTTTGGGGTCATATCCAAAACATCATTGCCCAGGCCAATGTCATGGAGCTTTCCCCTTATGTTTTCTTTCTAGTAGTTTTAGAATTTCAGCTCTTAAGTTTAAGTTTTTACTCTTTGAGTTGGTTTTTGCATATGGTATGAGATGAGGGTCTAATTCCATTTTTCTGCATGTGGATATTCAGTTTTCCCAACACTTTATTGAAGAATCTGTCCTTTTCCCATTGTGTGTTCTTGGCAAGTCTGTCAAAAATTAATTGACCGTAAATGCATGGATTTATTTTGGGGCTCTATATTCTGTTCCATTGGTCTATGTGTCTGTTTTTATACCAGTACTATGATGTTTTGATTACTATAGCTTTGTAGTGTATTTTGAAATCAGGTAGTGAGATGTCTCCAGTTTTGTTCTTTTTGCTCAAGATTGCTTTAGCTCCAATAGTTCTGTTACTCATAGAAACATCTGTGATAACTATTGAAGTCCCTCAGCAGCTAAGATTAAAAAAAACTCCAGGAATCTGGAAACTTAAGAAATGAACACTCAAATATATAATTACATTAACAAAATATCATGAGAATACTAAGTCTTATGGAAGGCCATTTAAACACTGGGATGATCACAGCACTCACTAAACTATCCCAGGACTAAATAAATTTCTTTGTAGCTTAGCACTTTTTTCCTTAATGAACGATTTTCTCGTCAGTGGAATAAACACCTGGTTTTGAAAACATTTTGTGGTTGATTTTGGGTAAAACATTTTTGATAAAAGGGTTTGACTAAATTAAAAGCCTTATAAGCCTGTAGCACATTCTACAAAATTCAGTAAATTCACTGGTTTAATCTAATTTTCCTCTAGAGGAGTCTACTCAATTTAACTTAGTACTTCCACAAAATCTGATATAACTAATGTTCAAAACAATAACTATAAGGCACAAAAAGCCTGAATCTTAAGAAGCATTTATTATAAAAATATTATACAAATGGCAGAATAAATTTTAGTGTTAAACTCGACATGTGATGTGTGTATGTACATTGTATATGTAAATTACTAGAATTATTGGCATTTTTTTCTTTACATTTTCATCATTTTTCAAACATGTTACTTTTATATTACAAAAAGGCAAAATAAGACTACTTTGAAGATGTGTCATTGACAGTTGTATTTATCAGCAGTTAATGGCAACATTTTAAGTGGAGATATAAATGCTAATCCTAATTTTGACAACTTTTGAATGACTGAACAGATAACACACTTCCATATGTTATAGATTCCTTATCTTAAATCCAAGGATAAAAACTATCAAATGGCTGGGTGCAATGACTCACACTTGTAATCCCAGCACTTTGGGAGGATCACTTGAGGCCAGGAGTTCAAGACCAGTCTGGGCAACTCAAGACCCCGTCTCTACAAAAAATAAAAAAAAACTTGGTGGGACCAGGTGCGGTGGCTCATGCCTGTAATCCTAGCTCTCTGGGAGGCGGAGGCAGGAGGATTGTTTGAGCTCAGGAGTTCAAGACCAGCCTGAGCAAGAGCGAGACCCAGTCTCTACTGAAAATAAAAAGAAATTAGCTGGACAACTAAAAGTATACAGAAAAAGTCAGCCAGGCATGGTGGCGCATGCCTGTAGTCCCAGCTACTCAGGAGGCTGAGGCAGGATTGCTTAAGCCCAGGAGTTTGAGGTTGCTGTGAGCTAGGCTGACGCCACGGCACTACATTCAGGGCAACAGGGTGAGACTCTGTCTCCAAAAAAAAATTAAGTGGGCATAGTGGAATGCACCTGTAGTCCCAGCTCCTGGGGAGGCTGAAGCAAGAGAATCACTTGAACCCAGGAGTTGGAGGTTGCAGTGAGATATGATCATACCGTTGCACTCCAGCCTGGGCAAGATCCTGCCTCAAAAAAACAAAAACAAAAACAAAAAAACAACCCTATCAAATGAATAAACTATGTTAGGAGGCACTGTTTTATAATAGGAAGAGAAAATATTTCTAATGCTCAAAATGAAACAAAACTCTGAACTGGAGCTATTCATTGTTCAAGATTAAAGGGCAAGGTTATTACATTTTAAAAACCAAGTCATATTAGATCCATAATCTTTCTCAAAATTAGTTATTCAGATATAACAGAAGAGAAATTTAATGTCTATCTTACCTAAGGAGTTACTATCACTGATTCTAATGATAACTTTAGATAACTACTGATCATCAGTCCCATTTGATCTAAAGCAGCAATGTGGTATATTCTTTTGTTTCATTTTTAATAATCTGACATAATTTCAGGTATCTCATGAAACCAAAAAAGGTCATGGAGGACATTAATACTTAGTGTAACTTTCTGATTCTACCTATATAATACTTTGCTAGGAATTAGCAATCCAGAAAAATTCCAGGAAAGAAATAGGGAGGCCGGGCGCGGTGGCTCACACCTGTAATCCTAGCACTCTGGGAGGCCGAGGTGGGCAGATTGTTTGACCTCAAGAGTTCGAGACCAGCCTGAGCAAGAGCGAGACCCCGTCTCTACTAAAAATACAAAGAAATTAATCGGACAACTAAAAAATATATATATAGAAAAAAATTAGCCGGGCATGGTGGCACATGCCTGTAGTCCCAGCTACTCGGGAGGCTGAGGCAGAAGGAATTGCTTGAGCCCAGGAGTTTGAGGTTGCTGTGAGCTAGGCTGACGCCACGGCACTCTAGCCTGGGCAAAAGAGTGAGACTCTGTCTCAAAAAAAAAAAAAAAAAAAAGAAATAGGGAGTAGGCACTCAATAAAAGAAAAATATATAATCGAAAGTTCATGACCTGTGACAGAACACACATTTCCTTTTGCCATCTTTTTAAACCAACTAGTAATTAAGATCACTGTACTCTGATCATTCTTTATGTGGTACACATCCTTCAATGTCCACATGTTCCTTATAGCAGGGTACTATATTAAGTATTCTGAAGTGAACAGTACCTCTCAAAATCTTAAACTTTTATAGATCTTCATGCATGTATGTAAAAAATCTTTAATATTCTGAATCTGTCTCCCAAATAAATCTGTTTCTCCCTGTTTTCCTAAGTGTGTACTACCTGCTTCAGAATCACCCAACATCCTTATAAAAAGATTCTTGTATTGCCATCCCCAGAACGACTATAAAGGAGAGGTTCAGGGTCTTCAAATTCTCATTTTTCTAAGCAAGCACCAAGTGATTCTCATGTACACTAATGCTTGATACCTCAACTATATGCAATTAGAATTCTAAAGCTCTTTGAAAACAAGAATCATATTCATTGGAAGGACATGCAACATAAATAAAAAAAAAGAAAACAAGAATTATACAATTTCTTCTGTAATCACCCAACATAGAAAATGACCACAGAGAACGCTCAGTAGTAACATGTTTTTAGAAACACTAAAATGCCACTTACGTAGAGGACAGAGATCACTACTCATAACTGAATAATTACTCTATGATGCAGGAACCCAGAATGTGAAAATCTGCAAGGTCATGCTTCTGCAGAGCACAAGCATTGTACCAGTAAAGCTTCACAAGTAATGTGTAAGTACAACCTTGATAGTGACTATAATATGGGATAAATATTATTATAGTATTTGAATATGCATATTATTTTCCCATGATTCTACACATACTAACCAACTCCTATAATTGTTACCAGTGCTTTATTTAATATAGCAAAATTATATTTACCTAATCTCTAAGAGTTAACATTAAGTTTAGTTTTTAAATCTCTAACAAATATCACTAGCCACAAGTGAGCTTCCTAAAAACACGTAGTTCAGAATAATAACACCATGTGAACCAATACCAACTTCTAGGAGGTCCAGGAAGAATAAAATAGGTTGGAAGAAGTAATTACATACAGCAAATTGCTACTACTGATAGAAGCCACAAGACACAGGGACTATAATTTTTAACCAAAGCATATTCCTCACAGATCTGAGCATCAGATTGGAAATGAATGATTTTTATCCAAAGCAACAAACCAAGTAAACTAAAAGTAAACCTAAATGGTCATTTCTTTTCCTTCTACAAGGAAACCACACTATAATTACACCTCTTAAACCAACACATAAATGTAAAAACCAACGATGTTATAGGTGTCCAATGTAAGACAAAGGATTGGATGTTATCCACAGGGTTGTGTAGTTTGAAAGTTCTGAGAGGAGATTTGGAAATGTTACCTTTTGTTTTTTCCATCAATGTAATGACAGCAACTATTTAAGTACTACTTTTAGGTTTTAACTTACATATATTATTACACTTGTTGCTTCTCACTACAGTAAAGCTTTTTAAAGCTAGTATAAGCTTATGCATGGAATGTTAAGAATGCATTCAGATTAACAGCATCTTTCTTAAAAGCTGTTAATAAGAGAGCCCATACTGTATCAAAAGTCAAAAATTAAACTACAAGCACCTGGTCTTGAGTCTACTAAGGTCAGATTCTTTTTAGTTCATAAATTCTGTGGCAACATCTACATTACCCTTATATAAAACATGCAGCAATACAATAAGATTGCAACTATGCAATTTTAATTGCAATTATAGAAAAAAGTGAAAACATCTATTTATAATACTGTTTTATTGACTTTTCCTATTAAAAAACAATAATCATAGAATCTAACTTTCCTAAAGAAAGTTTTTCTAAAGTGATGTTTTCCTAAAGAAAAACATCAAAATAACCTAAAACAGAAGTAAATTTTTGAATGAAATAGACACAAACAGCCAAGTTACTTTAAGTGATAAATATTTAAGTTACCTGCAGAGCATCATTAAATTTTAGCTAGTTATATCCAGAAAATTGACAGGAAAGAATGCATATTTCTCTGCCAACACAATGATTTGGTGTACCCACAAAACAGAGGTATAGGCAACCTCCAAATCAAATCTATATATTAAATTACTTAACTACTTACCCACGGTATACCAACTAGCATCTGTCAACTTGCTGATAATAGCTTCCTGAAAAGATCCATCAGAGGTCCTTGTTTCAACAATAGCCCCAACCTAAAACATGAAATCCAAATTTCCTTACCAAATTTAAACAAATAAACCAAATCACTCCCACCAACTATATGATCTGGGTAAGAGAAATAATATAGTACTTATGATAATTCTACCTTATATTGGCTTAGATCTTTATCACTCATACACATATATTCATTATGTAATTTGAGCCCCAGAACACTTTGGCAAAAGTGAGGTAGCTATTATTACCCCTACTTTACATATTGAAAATTGTGGCTTGGAAAGAGAAAATAATTTGCAGAGTCAAGGATGAGAACTCAGTCTCTTAAATCTTACTTCAGAGCCTATTCACTGTATCGCATTGCCTTCAAGAAAATTAAATATAAAATCCATAAAACCATAGACAACTAAAATAGCCTCAACTTTCATAAAAATATTCGATTTAGCATTTGTATCTAAGGGACCTTTTAGGTAAAGGTTCACCTGGAGAGAGAAGGATGGACCAGTTGACCTTCTTTCAGCTTCCAGACCTTTGTATATCAGATATTAACCGAAGTGGTACTCTGACATAACAAAGATTTATTACATAAACAAATGGCCAGAAATGGATGGAAAACATAATATAGGTATTCATAAAATTGAATTATAAAATGAACATAATTTACTTGGTAAATTAGAACAACAGAAGATTCAGTATATGATACTGTATATATCTTAGCAGGCTAAACATCACCTCAGATACAGCAACAATGTAAAAAACAAAGTCAAGTATTCAGTCCAAGAATTTAAAACAAAAGGTGAGTGAAAATTTAACATGTTTGTATGTATTAACTTTCCCTTCTATAAGATGTTTAATATTCTAAAACTAAGAATACAGCCATTGCAATATCATAATTTATACTAACTATACAAACCCCTCATTTGTATTTTTGTTTTCTGATTAAAATCCTTATAAAATTTTAAGTGTATGTACAAATGTAAAATTGATGGTCAATTACAGTATGAATCTATGATTATTTTAGATTTTAAACTGCACAACATACGTACTCTTAAAGGACCCTTTACTTGGTCATCTTGCACCAATTGTGTAGTATTATCCTGTTTTAGGAGTACCTGAAAAACATTTTTGCATGATAATTTACATGTTACTTTTAAAATACATTTATAGTAATGCTGTAACAATAATGTCTTTAATCTATGCTTTCTTATCACCCTGTGGTTAGGTCTAGTATAATACTTACTACATTGTCTTGTATTTATGTTTATTGTCTCTCTCATTAACTGTGACCTCCTTGAGGGCTGGGGGCCCTCCTTCATTACTATATCACTAGTGGTTAGCAAGTGTCAATGCATATTACAGCCACTTAATAACTGTTTACTGAATGAACTACAGAAGATTTATAACCTGTAGTTATTACCGTAAAAGCTTAAAACTGTTTTTATTGCTTTTTATCAAGTCATAAAACGTTATGATTGTCACCAAGTATATAAAAAAAGTATCAAACTACATTGTCTATATGACAGGTAAACAAATTAAACAAATTGAAATCAGAACTCTTTTACTCCTTTATAAAGTAAATGTGAACAATAATCATGATATGTAATTCTGTGTTTCTTACAAACAAGTGCTCCTTTCTACTACACATCCTCCCAAATAAACAGGGTAACCATCCATAATAGAGCAATTACCCAAATAAATAAACTCAAAAATCTAGGTAATGAATGTATGATAAGACCTCCTAAAACAATCATGGTATTGATTTTTAAAAAATTAGAAGCACAATACTAACAAAAAGTTAAAATTGTCAAAGAATCCCAAATAAATATTGAACAATCAAATCCTATAGTTGACACAGTAAAAAGGCTATATGAAATAAGAAGTGAATGTCAAATGACATCCTATCTAGCTAAAAATACCCAAAGAAAAGCTTCATCGGCAGATGAAAATTTGTACAGAAATGTTATAATAATCACATATAAATCTATTTATCTACCACACGAATCGCATTCCTCTAGTTCAACAGTTCTCAAACTTTAACATGCATGAGAAACATATGGAGGGCTTATTAAAACACAATTACTGGATCTTACTCCCAGAGTTTCTGATTCAGTAGGTCTGAGGTGTGGGCCTGAGAATTTGCGTTTTGAACAAGTTTCCAGGTAGGGCTAAAGCTGCTGGTCTAGGGCCATACTTTGAGAATCACTGCTCTAATTCATTGATACATCCAGTCAACAAATTTTAAGTATCCACTATATATCAAGCACTACTCTAGGTGTTAGGCATAGAATCAGATGTTTCCTCCTTTCACAGTGCTTAATTCTTATAGGAAAACATCAGATATATAAGCAAATAAAGCAAATTTTGCAAACTGCAAATTCAGTATGATCCAGTAATAATAAGAATGATAGTAATGTTATAACAGACCTCAACGTTAAAAATGTTTATAATAAGCATGGATTACTCTGGTATCTAAATACAAAGTGACAAAGACTATTAAAAATATATAGGAAAATTACTAGAAGAAAACACAAAAAATGCTAATAGTTATTTCTGAGAGGTGAGCTATGGACATTAATCCATTTGTACTTTTCTATGTTTCCAAATACTGTATGGAAATCAGTTAACCTTTTACTGGTCATAAAAGCATCTTAAAAATAAAATTATTGAATCATTTTTATACTGTCTCAAAAACATAATTCTCACTGTATTGTTCTAATCACTGAAATTTTCTCTACCTGAACATTGTATTATGAAAGGGGAGAAAATAGTTACAGCCTAAGTATGCTACCACAAACAAGAAAGATCCAAATGATAGGAAGTATCAGGAGCATGGTATTTTGATAGAAGCATTTTAGAATAATTTCTCCTTCTGAGTTCTTTATTTCTCAATTCTTAATGTGCCTTTTCTATAAGTTTAGTATATAAGTGCTTTCACACAGTAATGACTCAACAAATAAAATGTTGATTTGCAGTCTCCCCCTCCCTGATTCTCTTCAATCCAGAGTTAATAAAACTGTTACATCTTAAAAAAAAAGAAAAATTACCTTAACTTTCACCAGCCTTTTCACAGTCTTAATCTTGGCCTCACAGAAGGCACCTCGGTACTTGGCACTGACATCAGTTCCCACTGTCAGGTAGGCAGGCTCATCTGCTGCCTGATGAAAGGAACATAAACCATGAATGTCGCTATTATTCCTACACCAACCTCAAGTCTCATTATAAGGTTCTGTATTTAAAGTAATAAGAACATTAAAATTATTTGCTTATTAATATAATTGATAATTTGAAAAATACCCCTAAAGCAAACACTTTATTAACAATCTTTCATTTCATATACTGATGTCTTGATACTATGTTTTAAAGTTGTAATTAGAAATTATCAGTAAGGAAATATAATAGTGTTTTTTCTCTATATACAAAGTGTTTAAAAAATTCTATAATTTATATAAGAAGTGGAAAAATAAGAAAAAAACAGAAAAAGTATCTCATAGTAAATGCTTATAAAACTACATTATTCATTTATGGCCTCCCCAAAATTGTTTTCAAGTTAAAAGAAATATTGCTATTAACACTAACGATAATTAAATGTTTATTGCTATAGCTACATAAAAGCAATATTTTTAAATACAATGTAACTGTACAGATAAGAAATGAAGCCAACCCTTTTGATTAAAAAAAAAAAGTTAACATTTGGAAAATTCATAGTCTACAAGCTGCATTTGAAAAATTTAAGTCTGAATTCAGCCAATGAATGCAGATATGAACCAATAATTCAAAAGTCGTAGGCATACCTAGAGTTTACCACACTAATCTTCTTAGTATAAAATATAAGCTTTACTAAGAAATGTCTACTTTAAGAAGATGGCCATGATCAGAATGATACTTTGAAAGATGTGAGAAATGTCATTCTACCATTCATTTTAATCTTGACAGTAACAGGATGATTGCTACCTCAATCTGTCATTGTGCTTATTTTTTTCAAAAGTTAAGTGTAATCATACAAGTTCAATTCAACATTGCTATGGGTAAAGGCAACAATGTACACTTTAGAGACACATTTTTAAGTAGAAAACAATTTTTCACTTTCCAATAAGTTTTCCCAAGTAATATTAAAGAAGGTTGAATATGTCACTTCACTTCAAGAAAATAGGAAAACAAGAGACAGCTTTGGCAAATGCTGTATTTTAGAGCTTCATATACTGAAACAGTAAGAAGACAGGAATCAGGTACCTTTTAAAGTCATTGCATTTACAAACAATGTAAATCGAAGAGGAATACATTTGGCAAGTAAGTATCTAACCTGAAACATTCCAATGGCCACAATACTCTGGAATGCTTCCTTTCTCTTTAAACATCCACATGTGTTCGCAGTTGTTTTGAGAAGAATATATGTATATATGTGTATGTATACACACACACACACACACACACACACACACACGCACATACATATATTTTTAGGATGGGTATATGTTTTAAAATATTTACCATAAGGATTTAAGTAGAACTAAGCATTATTAGTTTTAGATTAACTTCAAAATTTTAGCCAGAGAAGTTGACGTTATCCCCAGAAAAAATGATACTTTCCTTATCCAATCCACATATTCCCTTAGAAAATCTCATTGGCACTGGAGAAGAAAAAAATTTTCAAAAAATCCCCCAAAGAACCAAAGCAGGACAAAAGCTTTACTTCTGCAGAGGTTGCTGCCAACACAGGAAGTGTTTAAAAATACTATCCGAATGGACAATTGAAAGGCTGCACCAGCCTTTCCAAAGTGCTAACTGCTACAGAGAGGGGCTGAACTGACTGCATCTAGACACACATATCATTTCTCACCCATTCAACACGTCCTCGATTTCTGAAAGTGCTGCTGAGTACGGAAATCAATTTTGAATAGCAAAAAAAATGACATTTCACGGCACCAGCCTCAAGACTGGCAGTGTCCAGGGCACGAGGATCAGGGCAGCGTTGGCTCCACTTACCTTCATTTTTATTGGTGATCTCTGGGGTTCCAGCTCAACGACCTATCTTCGCTGTTGCTAGAACCATTGGGGAGGGGAAAGACAGGCACAGAATCAGTCAACAGCGGGGAGCGACGAAGGGAAAGAAAGTAAACAAATGCCAACGGGGAGGGGCAGAACCCTCAGCAGGCAAGGGATAAGACCCCCTCAGTGGGCAGCCAGGACGCGGGAGCTGAGGGAGCAGCGAGAAGCCCACGCGCGCGTAAGGGCAGCCCGTTCCGCCCCGGAGCTTGCCAGCGGCCCACGGCGCCCCCGCCTCGCTGGCCACTTTGACCTGGAATGCTCAACTCGGAGCCCCAGGACAGATCGCTCTGGACAAGAGCAGGGCGCCGTTTGGGCTTCCCCAGGTCCGCCAGAGAGGCGACCGCCCAGCCTTTGCTCGGCCGCCCTCCGGATACCCCGACTTCGGCCCGCGCCCCGCCTCCGCCGCTCGGCCCCCTCGGCCCGCCCCGGGCCCGCGGTGGCGGCAGCGGAGTGTCACGGCGCCATTGCTCTCCCTCCTTCGCTCTGCACCATGTCAGGAAGGAGAAGCGCTCCTTCACCCGAAGGGGCAGGGGCCGCGGCCTTCAGCAGGGAGCTGCGAGTGCTCGGGGAGACCCGAACGGTGGAGGGGACAGAGGGAGTGGGGGTGCGGGGGGGAGGAGGGGAGGTGGCCGGACAGGGTGTGGGAGGGGAGGGGAGCCGCACAGCGGCAGCCACCGCCTCCTCCCCGCGCCCGCCTCAACTTTTTGTACAGCCCAGAGAGGTATCAGCCCCCAGCCCCTTGGGTCCTGCCACGGACTCCACAGTGGAGGACGCGCCACGGAGTCGGGGGGGCCGGATAGTCCAAGCTGCCCGCTCCTCACCCCGCGGAAGCAAACTTAGCGGCGCGGCCAGCCCCACAGCCATTTTCCCGGGGAACCTGGGGAAGCGGACGAGGAGGCGGCTGCGGCGGCGGTTCCTGCAGTTGCTGCCGCTGCTCCACGACTTGCCCCTTCCCCTGCGCTCGCTGCACCACTTGCCCAGCATCCCCCTCCCCACCTCCAAAGCTTCCAACTGCACCGGGACCCCGGGCAGCAGCACCAGCTGCTACTGCCGCTTCGTCCATTCAGTATTCCGCGCTTCCTTTCTCCCCACCTACCAACAGCGGATGAAGTGCGTGCTGTCAGCTCCTGAGTCCTCCGCCCCACTGACCCCCGGGGGCCCCCGTCCTGGCAGCACCACTCCCGGCCGCGACGGCAGTTCCTGCGCCGGGTTCCCCACTCGCCCCGATTTACTGCCACAATCCACCAAATAACAAGCTGTTGAGCAGACTCGCTTCTACACGAACTCCTATTGGCTGCTCATGACGCCGAAGAGCTTCGGATTGGACCTCGCTACCTGTCGTCCTCATTGGATGTAGCTCTGAAACTTCACGGATTGGTGCGAAAAACAGCAGGTAGGACATCCTCCACTTATGATTGGCTTTCTCCGAAGACCAACGTTATTGGAGAATTGGGTATTGAGTAAGCAAGTCCTCAGAAATGATTGGTAGAGACGACTCCGGATGTGCTTGACTGAGTACTGATTGGTCAATTGAGGGGTCAGGAAGAGCAGTTCGGCGCGACGATTGGCGGCGAAGTGTCCCATGGAAACGGAACCCAGAACTGCAGCCAGGGGCTTGCACGGGGGCGGGGCAGGGTGTTTCCAAGGCGCTTGCGCTAAACCGCTTCTCGGCGCCATTTTGTCTCGGCAGCGGTAGGCGCAGCTCTATCGCATTTTATGCTTCTGGCGTGAAAGGAGCGGAGTCCTTATCCGGTAGATTTATTTTAGTGGGGCACCCATCCACCGTTCTCTCCAGGACAGCACCTAGTCCTAGTCGGAGGAGTCGCAGAGCTGTCAAAAAGGTCAGTTGGAGGCTATGATTGTCCGATTGACTGGGGGGATGGCGCAGCTCTATCGGCACCGGCACCGGAAGTGAAGGGGCCGCGGGCAGCCATGGTAAAGTGAGTGCTCCCTGCGACGGGGTGGGGGGAAGGGGGCGGGATGAAAGGGGGCGAGGCTTCCTCTCCCGCCGAGAGAAAGAGAAGGAGGCGGGGAAGACATGCAAGTCTTTCTTGGAGGCGATCCTTTGGGCTGCTCAGAAATATTCTGGATTCTGCGTCTTTCCGAGCTGTTTTTCCTCCTTTTGGAAATGCGTTTCGGGGACTTGCCATATTCTCCTCTCGAGTATCACCGGCTGTCTGGGTCTCCTTACTTAAGATGTGGAAGACATAGTTCTTAGAAATATTATGCGTGAGGAGAGGCGTTTCCGCGTGCTCACGCGATAAAGCTACGGAGGAAACTGGAGAAAGCTCTGGCTTTTGGAATGCTGAGGAATTTGCTTGGCAGCACGGGCGCTGCTGCTGTAACCTTAGAGAAGTGTCTGTCACTTTGCACGAGGCTTATGCTACTTTTTGAAAGGAAGTAGCAGTGGTTTTGTAGGGACTGAAAATATCTTAGATAAAAGGACCTTCCAATAGGACAGATGTTGGTCTTATTGTATTAACATCTTATTTTCTGTAACATGAAACAAAAACTTATGTATTTTAAGTATTGGAAATTGAATATTTGTTTTAAAGAATGAAATAATTTTTAGAATGTTAAATATCGTCGATATCCACATAGACTAAATTTACTAAATAAGAGGATACCTTACCTAAAGCAGGATCGGTTTTATATTCATAACAGTGATTTCTCTCAAAATTATTCGTTAAGAAAGTGAAACGTAGGTCGGGTATTTCCAGTGAGTGACCTAGTCACACTGAATGCTTATAATTATCCTCTTTTAAACCCTATTGCTGTATTTGGTGGGGCACCAGACTAGAAAATGGTTGAGTGATTTAACAATTTACTGGGGTTTTTTGGCAGTTGTGCTGAAGAAAACAGGACATCTCAGTAACAAATATCTGAAAATATTACCGAGGTGAGTCCTGATATCTGTAAAAATCCTCAGAATTGGGGGGACCATCTGAAAAATTTTCTATGGACCAGTAAATAAATACTAGAATGGTAGTTGAAAGATGTTTTGTTTGGCCACGGGTTCAAATGAGTCTGTATAACTACCTTACTGATAATGATATTTTAGAATGAAATCTCCAAATTAGAGCATCCTTATGGGTTTGTTTACCCATTCATGTGGTTCTCATTTCTGGGTTTTTAGGTGTTTAATGATTTTATCATGAAACACTCTGGGTATTTTTGTGATTATCCCCTCCCCCCTTTAAAAATTTCTCATACAGCAAAGATCTTGTTATTAACAGTGTTTAGGAGTGTAGCAAATTTTTTTAAGGAAATTATAAAACAATATAATACTACTGAACTTTGCAGGGGGGTAATCATCCATAATTCCATTACCCAACCTTAAACACTTATTAGCTGATCTAAATAACATGTTAGTGGGCATTTGGAAATTACTAAAAAGCCAAAAAAGAACAAAAGTCTCTTGTATCCTACCAATAAAAGGCAATTGCAGTTTATAATGTGCTTATATATTAATATTACACAGAGGGCTTTGTCTCTTTTGGTTTTCTTTTATAAAATGTTCTATATTTTGGTGCAAAAGTAATTGTGGTTTTAACATTGTTGAAATTTTCCATTTGCTGTTGGAATACATCTTAAATGTGGTTATATTATACGTCATTTTAATGTACATTTCTCACTTTATTTTTTTTGCTAATGACTTATTACTTGCTGTTTATATTTATTTTAGACTATGGAAATGATGTTAGACAAAAAGCAAATTCGAGCAATTTTCTTATTCGAGTTCAAAATGGGTCATAAAGCAGCGGAGACAACTCGCAACATCAACAAGGCATTTGGCCCAGGAACTGTTAACGAACGTACAGTGCAGTGGTGGTTCAAGAAGTTTTGCAAAGGAGACGAGAGCCTTGAAGATGAGGGGCGCAGTGGCCGGCCATCAGAAGTTGACAATGACCAATTGAGAGCAATCATCGAAGCTGATCCTCTTAAAACTACACGAGAAGTTGCTGAAAAACTCAACGTCAACCATTCTACGGTTGTTCGGCATTTGAAGCAAATTGGAAAAGTGAAAAAGCTCGGTAAGTGGGTGCCTCGTGAGCTGACGGAAAATCAAAAAAATCGTCATTTTGAAGTGTCGTCTTCTCTTATTGTACGCAACAACAACGAACCATTTCTTGATCGGATTGTGACATGGGAAGAAAAGTGGATTTTATATGACAATGGGCAACAACCAGCTCGGTGGTTGGACCAAGAACAAACTCCAAAGCACTTCCCAATGCCAAACTTGCACCCAAAAAAGGTCATGGTCACTGTTTGGTGGTCTGCTGCTGGTCTGATCCACTACAGCTTTCTGAATCCTGATGAAACCATTACATCTGAGAAGTATGTTCAGCAAATCGATGAGATGCACCAAAAACTGCAACGCCTGCAGCCGGCATTGGTCAACAGAAAGGGACCAATTCTTCTCCATGACAACGCCCGACCGCACGTGGCACAGCCAACTCTTCAAAAATTGAACGAATTGGGCTACGAAGTTTTGCCTCATCCGCCATATTCACCTGACCTGTCACCAACTGACTACCACTTCTTCAAACATCTTGATAACTTTTTGCAGGGAAAACACTTCCACAACCAGCAGGATGCAGAAAATGCTTTCCAAGAGTTTGTCAAATCTCGAAGCACAGATTTTTACGCTATGGGAATAAACAAACTTATTTCTCATTGGCAAAAATGTGTTGATTGTAATGGTTCCTATTTTGATTAATAAAGATGTGTTTGAACCTAGTTATAATGATTTAAAATTCATGCTGCGGTTTCGGACCACACTCATTTTGTTACCCATGTTTCTTTTTCTTTATGAAAAACACTGGGAATGTCAGAAATATCTTGTACATAAGCATCTTTTTTATGTTCATAGTGTTTTATAAGACAAGTTTACCATAATTTATATAACCTGTTTATTTTTCCATAATAGCAGTATTACGTCAGTGAATATCTTTGTATGTGCTTTGCAAAATATTATAAGAACTTACATCAATGGCTAAAATTTCTGGGAATCTAAATCTTCATTCACATCCCTGGTTATTTCTTTGTAATAAATTAACAGAAGTGGAAATAAAAGGCCAACGGAATTGTATTGTATGTTTAAGGCTTTGGATACTTGTACACACTTATCCATCAGAAAGCTTTTCTTCTTATTGCATTTATATTTATTGTGCTTTTTATTTTTTCCCTCAATTTTCCTGTTTTTTCTTTACCTTAAATTTTGAATTTTCTCTCCTGAATCTCTGTTTATTTAAATATAATATTTAAATTACACATATAGTGAAATAAATATGAAAATTTTTCTTGGACCTCAGGAGTGATATTTAAAAATAATTTTTTCACTTTAGTTGAGCATTTTTACATTTAAATGTTTTGCTACATGGAAGTGATGTTTAGGGATGCAAAGAATAAATTGTTTTTGTGGTATAGTTAGTTGAGTTTAACTAATTTATGTTTCCCTGTGGCCTTCTCTAAAATTTTCCATCTTCATGTGCATTCCTTCCGTCAGTGTTTTTGTGGTCTCATCGGAACCTATACATGCATCTCACCACCCTTTCTTTGCAGTTGTTTGGCTGTTCTCCAGTTTGAGATTTTTGATTTTGAATTTTTTTTTTTTTGAGACAGGGTCCTGCTCTGTTGCCCAGGCTAGAGTGTAGTGGCACCATCATAGCTTACTGCAGCCTCAAACTCCTGGGCTCATGCAATCCTGCTGCTTTAGCCTCCTGAGTAGCTGAGACTGCAGGTGCATACCACCATACCTGGCTAATCCAGTATGAGATTTTTGTTCCCAGAAGGCAGCAACTGTTTTAATCATAGCTATGTTCCCCTACCTGATGCATGATAGGTGCTCTGTAAATATTTCTTACGAATATATATGCACATTTGTATACAAAATATGTGCAATAAGCCAACTTAAGTTTAATAGTAATTCTTGACTAAAAGTTAGTGATGTTCCCAAAGCTGTCTTAACCTTCCAATTTAATATTCACAAGTACTTAATAGTGAATTGATTTGTAATTGCTAATAAAATATTGATTTAGAGAACCATTAAAAATGTGTCAATACTAGTTTTTCAAGACTTTTTTTTATTCCTCAGTCCTTTTTAAGGATTTTATATCTTAGTGGAAGGTGACTGTAAATGGATATTAACATTGCTAGACCATCTCTTAGGTATAAATGAATGAAATTATGATG